AAAATAGAGCGAGGAAGCTGAAATTTTGTATTATTGTAGATTCTTGGTCATAGATTCTAAATCTGTTGTCAAATATGGTGTATCTTTATTAAGGGGGGCGCTGTGGGCCCCCAAAATCTCACATTTGGTTGCCGCTCAATTTATTTTTCAATATTTGAGGTCCAAGATCTATTTACTCCAAGCAGATATTTACAAACTAATTGTTGAACCTGAATATTTGAGAGAATGACTATTTCTGACAACAATCTCACACTTTTCTGAGCTTTCATGTGGACGGTGTAGAGTCCCAGATATGGTCACAGATCAAATGTGATCTTTTTGGCCCCTTTTTTGGAGCCTCGGTTCTTCATGTGGGCACAGTTAAATGTTGATAAAATTTTTACCAGAGAAACTTTGTCATATTCTGTTTAGTATGAAGTAATAAAAACATCTACTATTAACTTCCTTCATTCCAAACAGAATTTTTCAAAATGAGCTCTCATGGATCGTTTTTGGTGGAGCTTAGGGACTTTTCCACCTGCTAGAAAGATTAAGTTATGTTTAATAGACTTAAACACTATTTGCTTTTCAGCTTCCGCGCTCTATTTTTTATGAAGTTATGGTCTCTCAAACATATAAATTTAAGGCTTCTGAAAAAGTGAGTATGGCCCCAAAATTTCAACGGACCAGAACTCAGGAACGACTCAAGGGGTTGAACCAAAATTTTAGATTCTTTTATTTGGTGATTTTAGAATTTTTTTGAATTTTTTTCAGCCAAATCTGAGGGGGAGATTCCTTGAAAACGGTTGATTTCATACAGACTGACCCACTGTGGTTTATGTTTCATAAATGTCTAACTGTACCCAAAGTCTCCTAAGTTTCTCATAATCATCTGTTTTTTTTTGTTGTTTGTTTTTTAATGAGTATCTCTCGCATTTTTGTTTTGTAAATGTAGCACACCAAAGGAAAAAGGTTGGACACCCCTGGTTTAATGCCATACTGTGGAACTTTCCAGATAAAGCCGTAACATCTCCATGCAGAAAAACATTTGTATTTGACGGAGCCTCCAGCAGAAAAGTTCCACAGTGCAGCTTTTCATTATAAAGAGTGCTGCTGCTGCTGCTGCTGCTGTTGTTGTTCTTTTTAAAGTGTGAAAATGCCTCTTCTTCACTTCACCTGCTGTCGCGCGTCGTCGTATTTTTAGCTCTGGTTGCTTGGGCGTCTCTGCAGAGTCTCCGGATCATTAGCTCCTCCGTCGCGGCACCTCGGGGCTAAAAACGCTCCGCTCCCAAACGCGACGCGCAGATTAGCCGTTAGCTTAAATTAGCCGTTAGCTGGCGGTTCCGTGGGAGTTTGTGATGATTGTCGCGAGCGCCCGCCGCCATTACAGCGCCCCCTGGAGCGTAGGCAGGGACGATGAGGCGTTTTACTCACTCCACACCTGAGCTACTCCGAATGACTCCCGGAGAAGTCGGCGCGGAGGGTGAGCGGAGTGTTTACAGGCTTAAAGAGGCGACGTGGCACTTTTCTGGTGGATTTTCTGTCGCCTGTTGGTCTCCATGGAGATGTTGTTGTTGATGTTGTTTTGTTCCATAGTGAGAAATTTAGCTTCTTTATCTTGCATTTATTCAAATATAGATGTTTTAATTGCTCAAAAATATCTTGAAAAACATGTATTATTAATATGAGTGTGTAAAAATGTTGAAATATCGATATAACCAAGGACTAAACCAGGACTGAACCAGGTCTAAACTAGGAGTAAACCAGAACTAAACCAGAACTGAACCAGACTGAACCAGGTCTAAACCAGGTCTAAACCAGGTTAAACCAGGACTAAACCAGGACTAAACCAGGACTAAACCAGGACTGAACAAACCAGGACTGAACCAGGTCTAAACCAGGATGAACCAGGATAAACCAGGACTGAACCAAAGGACTAAACCAGGACTGACTAAACCAGGACTGACTAACCAGGACTAAACCAGACTGAACCAGGACTAAACCAGAACCAGAACTAAACCAGACTGAACCAGGTCTAAACCAGGACTAAACCAGGTCTAAACCAGGACTAAACCAGACTAACCAGAACTGAACAGGTAAACCAGGTCTAAACCAGTCTAAACCAGGTCTAAACCAGGACTAAACCAGGACTAAACCAGGTCTAAACCAGGACTGAACCAGGATTAAAACCAGGACTGAACCGAGGACTGAACCAGGACTGAACCAGGACTGAACCAGGTCTAAACCAGGTCTAAACCAGGTCTAAAACAGGACTGAACCAGGTCTAAACCAGGACTGAACCAGGACTAAAACCAGGACTGAACCGAGGACTGAACCAGGACTGAACCGAGGACTAAACCAGAACTAAACCAGAACTGAACCAGGATGAACCAGGTCTAAACCAGGTCTAAACCAGGACTGAACCAGGTCTAAACCAGGACTGAACCGAGGACTGAACCAGGACAGAACCAGGACTAAACCAGGATCATACCAGGACTAATCTTGGACTTGGAATCTAAGGCCGTCCCTGAGAGAACCTGAGCCCGTGGAGCAGAGTTTCGATCGGGCGTCGGCTGTGATTGGCCCCGGTGAGCGTGGAGTCCTGTCGGTCCTTTGTCCCCGGCTTAGACCTTGTTTAGAAGCGGAACAGTCCTGTTGTAGACCAGGTTTAGTCCTGTTATAGATCTGGTTTAGACCCACGTCGACCGTCGGGCGACCGTGGGCGCACTGCCGGGTTCGTCCCGACACTCAGAACAGTAACAATGGCATTTCACTGCTGCTGACATCGTGGTGATTTTACCGAATTTGTATGAAGAAAAACGATTGTGACATGTTTTGTGGCGTTACTGACATTTGTACACAGTAAAATATTACTGTTTTTATTACTACGTTACAGCAAAAAACAACACATGACAATAATTCATGACTTTTATAACACATTTCTCCCAACACTGGTGATGATACAGTATCGACATCGTGGGCTGTTGTGTCGATATATCGCCAAGAGTACTTTTTGGTTTATTTTACTAAATTATTTAGTTCCAGCTACAGTTTTGTTCATTTAGTGGAAGGAAACTCGTTTATATGACACATTTGACATTTTCTTTTTTTTTTTATTCTTTATTTTTCTTTTTTAATGTTGTATGAACAGACAAATACAATACAACCCGCGGGTGCCTTGATGTCCACAAAGGATGTATTAATTAAAAGAAAAATATATACATATATATAATAATAATGAACAATAATTTTTACAGCCACTTACAAGAAAAACAAAGTAATGGGTCAAACAAAGTCCGATTTCACAGTATTTATATAATCAATCCACCGTTTCCATTTGCTTTCAAATTTGTCTTGTTGTAGTCTCATGCTAAAAGTAATTCTCTCCATCTTAAAAATATTATAAACAATCCCAAACCTTTCATCCAGTGTTGGTATTTGTGGATTAAGCCATTTCCTGGTTATAGTTTTCTTAGCAGCCGCACTCAAAATCTGGAACAGGTATTTAGCTTTATAAGTCACATTTTCACCCATCAGGAAACCCAAGTACATTGTTTCAAGTCGAAACGGTCAATACAGAACACAGTTACTAATGATTTGTGAATTTCTCTCCAAAACAGAACAATATGAGGACACGTTCCAAAATATATGGCAATGATTTGCCTCCAGTTCACCGCGTCGCCTCCAACAGTTTGATGAGTTGGTGTAGTGTCTTTCCTGGACTGGTGTTTTAAAGAACCTGACCAAATTCTTCCAACAAAACGACACATTTGACATTTTCACAGTTTTGATGATTAAAATGTCTTTAAAACCCTGGAATTGCCAATCTCGGACCCCGGTTAATGTTTATTGTGCACTGTCCCTGTCTCATAAAATAAACAAAATAATAATCATCATCATATTTGATCTGTAAATAGACGTTAATGCTGTGCGTGGGTAAGTAGTGAGACTATAAATCTGACCTGTACAGTTTCATACTAATGTAGGGTGATGAGATTTTCAAAATAAAAAAAACTGGGACATCCCTGGTTTGGTTTGGTTTGGTAGGAAAAAACTGTAAAACGAGTGCGTAATTAATGAAAATTGTTGCGCGCTTGACACTAATGTGAGTCAGTCTAGTCACATTTTCTTTGTGTTTTGGTCGTCTTAAAGCAGATTTTCTATATTTTACCTAAACAAATGTGTAAAACTTGGACAAATCATTGGTTTTTGGATAAATCTGCTGGGACAGGGGACTCATGACTCAAAACTAGGACTGTCCCGGGGAAACAGGGTCAAACTCATTTTGGTCCGGGGGCCGTATCCAACCGACTTTGATCCCAAAGTGTCCGGATCAGAAAACTCATGTCATATAAACCCCAAAAATAACAATAAGTTCAAATATTTGTGCAGAGAAACACAAATCTATTACAGAAATCTTTTTTAATTGATGAACTCTTTCTTTTACAAAATATTATAATATTATGAACAACCTGAAACTTTAAGAAAAATACAATTTCAACACAAAGTTTTAACATGAACTTGTTTGTAAACAGGAATAAGTCCATTTTTGTTGTAAAATCCTGCACTCGGCTCCACTTTTCTCATGTTGGACATTTTTCTGATGAGGGTGTCACGGTCAACAGTCAAAACGATCGTCCTTTAAGAGCGTTTGGAAAGAGACAAGTCTTCATTGTGCTGCTCTGGTGGGAGGGGCCACGTACAGAGACGCTGGAGACACTGCTGTGATAAACACCACAGAAAATTAACAAGATTTTAATAGAAAATATAATCACAATATTTTAGTAGAAAGTCAGCTGAGGGCCAGATTAAAGGTCTTGGAGGGCCGGGTCTGGCCCCCGGGCCGTATGTTTGACACCTGTGATCTATACTAATGTTTGTCTCTTGTCTTTTAATTTCCATTGTCCCTTTAATAAACAAATACAAATATAAAAGCTCACGAGAGTCAGTTTTTTGTACTACAGGATGTTTAATTCCCGTCTGAGCTGGTGTTTGTCTGGTGTTTGTCTGGTGTTTTTCAGATATTCCATCGACCGACGCACCGACATGGACCGAGTCTTCAACATTCACGCGGGAAACGGCTCCATCTTCACCCTGAGAGAACTGGACCGAGAGGAGAACGCCTGGCACAACATCACCGTCATCGCCACGGAGTTCAGTGAGTCACCAACGTAAACACAGATCAAATACTGCTCAAGAGATACACTGTAAAAGACCTGGTTTAGACCGGGTTTAGACCTGGACTAGACCTGGTTTAGACCTGGACTAGACCTGGACTAGACCTGGTTTAGACCGGGTTTAGACCTGGACTAGACCTGGTTTAGACCTCGTTTAGACCTGGAATAGTTCCGGAATAGCCCTGTTCAAGACCTGATTCAGTCTTGGTTTAGACCTGGTTTAGACCTGGACTAGACTTGGAGTAATCCTGTTTTAGACCTGTTTTAGACCTGTTTTAGACCTGGTTTAGACAGGGTTTAGACCTGGACTAGACCTGGTTTAGACCTGGTTTAGACCTGGAATAGTTCCAGAATAGTCATGTTCTAGACCTGATTCAGTCTTGGTTTAGCCCTGGACTAGACTTGGAGTAATCCGTTTATAGACCTGGTTTAGACCATTTTTAGACCTGGTTTAGACCTGGAATAGTTCCGGAATAGTCCTCTTCTAGACCTGATTCAGTCTTGGTTTAGACCTGGTTTAGACCTGGTTTTAGACCTGTTTTAGACCTGGTTTAGACCTGTTTTAGACCTGTTTTAGACCTGTTTTAGACCTGGTTTAGACCTGGTTTAGACCTGGTTTAGACCCGGTGTAGACTTGTTTTAGCGAAGTCTACACCGGGTCTAAACCAGGTCTAAAACAGAACTATTCCAGGTCTAATCGAGGACTAAACCAGGTCTAAAAGTGGACTACATCACTTCCACTGTAGTTCTAAAAAAGAAATTGACAAAATGAGCCGTAAATGAGTCAAACGACTCTGCAGACCTGAAGTCCACCTGGAGCTCGAGGACCACAGTTTGACAAACGCTGATCTAATTTAAATTTTCATCCAATTACAAAAGCTTTTACTGAGACGTCGAGTTAATTATGACTCATAAAAATAATAAAACTAATGATAATAATAATAATAATGAAAATACTCTAATAAATGTGACGTGAGGAGGTGAGTCATGTGTTTACATCAGGACTCACGGGGTTTAGATCTAATTTAGCCCCAGATTAGACTTGGAATAGTCCTGGTTTAGACCTGGTTTAGACCTGGCTTAGATCTGGTTTAGACGTGGTTTAAGACCTAGATTAGACTTGGAATAGTCCTGTTAAAGTCCTGGTTTAGATCTGGTTAGTCCTGGTTTAGACCTGGTTTAGACCTTGTTTAGTCCTTGTTTAGTCCTTGTTTAGTCCTGGTTTAGTCCTGGTTTAGTGTTTGCTTAGTCCTGTTTTAGACCTGGTTTAGACCTTGTTTAGACCTGTTTTAGACCTGGTTTAGACCTTGTTTAGACCTGTTTTAGTCCTGGTTTAGACCTGTTTTAGTCCTTGTTTAGTCCTGGTTTAGTCCTGGTTTAGACCTGGTTTAGTCCTTGTTTAGTCCTGGTTTAGTCCTGGTTTAGTCTTTGTTTAGACCTGGTTTAGACCTTGTTTAGACCTGGTTTAGACCTGGTTTAGACCTGGATTAGACTTGTTTTAGTCCTGGTTTAGTCCTGGTTTAGTCCTGGTGGAGTCCTGGTTTAGTCCTGGTTTAGACCTGGATTAGACTTGTTTTAGTCCTGGTTTAGTCCTGGTTTAGTCCTGGTGGAGTCCTGGTTTAGTCCTGGTTTAGACCTGGATTAGACTTGTTTTAGTCCTGGTTTAGTCCTGGTGGAGTCCTGGTTTAGACCTGGTTTAGACCTGGATTAGACTTGTTTTAGTCCTGGTTTAGACCTGGTTTAGTCCTGTTTTAGTCCTGGTTTAGACCTGGATTAGACTTGTTTTAGTCCTGGTTTAGTCCTGGTGGAGTCCTGGTTTAGTCCTGGTTTAGACCTGGTTTAGTACTGGTTTAGTCCTGGTTTAGTCCTGGTTTAGACCTGTTTTAGTTCTGGTTTAGTCCTGGTTGAGTCCTGGTTTAGTCCTGGTTTAGTCCTGGTTTAGTCCTGGTTTAGTCCTGGTTTAGTCCTGGTTTAGTCCTGGTTTAGTCCTGGTTTGGTTCTGGTTTAGTCCTGGTTTAGTCCTGGTTTAGTCCTGGTTAACTAACACAAACTCTCTCTCTTTCTCTCTTTTCTTTCCTTCTTCTCCTTTTTACCTCTAACTTTCACTTTCCTCTCCTCCCTCTTCTCTTTCTTTCTCTTTCTCTCCGTCCGTTTCCCAGACAACCCTCGCCTGATGAGCCGCGTTCCCGTCTACATCCGAATCCTCGACGTCAACGACAACCCGCCCACGTTCGCCGCCAACTACGAGACGTTTGTGTGCGAGAACGCCAAAGCTAACCAGGTACTAAACCAGGACTAAACCAGGACTAAACCAGGACTAAACCAGGACTAAACCAGGACTAAACCAGGACTAAACCAGGACTAAACCAGGACTAAACCAGGACTAAACCAGGACTAAACCAGGACTAAACCAGGACTAAACCAGGACTAAACCAGGACTAAACCAGGACTAAACCAGGACTAAACCAGGACTAAAACCAGGACTAAACCAGGACTAAACCAGGACTAAACCAGGACTAAACCAGGACTAAACCAGGTACTAAACCAGGACTAAACCAGGACTAAACCAGGACTAAACCAGGACTACTAAACCAGGTACTAAACCAGGACTAAACCAGGACTAAACCAGGACTAAACCAGGACTAAACCAGGACTAAACCAGGACTAAAACAGGACTAAACCAGGACTAAACCAGGTACTAAACCAGGACTAAACCAGGACTAAACCAGGACTAAACCAGGACTAAACCAGGACTAAACCAGGACTAAACCAGGTACTACTAAACCAGGACTAAACCAGGTACTAAACCAGGACTAAACCAGGTACTAAACCAGGGACTAAACCAGGACTAAACCAGGACTAAACCAGGACTAAACCAGGACTAAACCAGGACTAAACCAGGACTAAACCAGGTACTAAACCAGGACTAAACCAGGACTAAACCAGGACTAAACCAGGACTAAACCAGGTACTAAACCAGGACTAAACCAGGAACTAAACCAGGACTAAACCAGGACTAAACCAGGACTAAACCAGGACTAAACCAGGACTAAACCAGGACTAAACCAGGACTAAACCAGGACTAACCAGGACTAAACCAGGACTAAACCAGGACTAAACCAGGACTAAACCAGGACTAAACCAGGACTAAACCAGGACTAAACCAGGACTAAACCAGGACTAAACCAGGACTACTAAACCAGGACTAAACCAGGACTAAACCAGGACTAAACCAGGACTAAACCAGGACTAAACCAGGACTAAACCAGGACTAAACCAGGACTAAACCAGGACTAAACCAGGACTAAACCAGGACTAAACCAGGACTAAACCAGGGACTAAACCAGGACTAAACCAGGACTACTAAACCAGGACTAAACCAGGACTAAACCAGGACTAAACCAGGACTAAACCAGGACTAAACCAGGACTAAACCAGGACTAAACCAGGACTAAACCAGGACTAAACCAGGACTAAACCAGGACTAAACCAGGTACTAAACCAGAACTAAACCAGGACTAAACCAGGTACTAAACCAGGAACCAGGACTAAACCAGGACTAAACCAGGACTAAACCAGGTACTAAAACCAGGACTAAACCAGGACTAAACCAGGACTAAACCAGGACTAAACCAGGACTAAACCAGGACTAAACCAGGTACTAAACCAGGACTAAACCAGGACTAAACCAGGACTAAACCAGGACTAAACCAGGACTAAACCAGGACTAAACCAGGACTAAACCAGGACTAAACCAGGACTAAACCAGGACTAAACCAGGTACTAAACCAGGACTAAACCAGGACTAAACCAGGACTAAACCAGGTACTAAACCAGGACTAAACCAGACTAAACCAGGACTACTAAACCAGGACTAAACCAGGACTACTAAACCAGGACTAAACCAGGACTAAACCAGGTACTAAACCAGGACTAAACCAGGTACTAAACCAGGACTAAACCAGGACTAAACCAGGACTAAACCAGGACTAAACCAGGACTAAACAGGACTAAACCAGGACTAAACCAGGACTAAACCAGGACTAAACCAGGACTAAACCAGGACTAAACCAGGACTAAACCAGGACTAAACCAGGACTAAACCAGGGAACCAGGACTAAACCAGGACTAAACCAGGACTAAACCAGGACTAAACCAGGACTAAACCAGGACTAAACCAGGACTGGACTAAACCAGGACTAAACCAGGACTAAACCAGGACTAAACCAGGACTAAACCAGGACTAAACCAGGACTAAACCAGGACTAAACCAGGACTAAACCAGGTACTAAACCAGGACTAAACCAGGACTAAACCAGGTACTAAACCAGGACTAAACCAGGACTAAACCAGGACTAAACCAGGTACTAAACCAGGACTAAACCAGGACTAAACCAGGTACTAAACCAGGACTAAACCAGGACTAAACCAGGTACTAAACCAGGACTAAACCAGGACTAAACCAGGACTAAACCAGGACTAAACCAGGACTAAACCAGGACTAAACCAGGACAGGTACTAAACCAGGACTAAACCAGGACTAAACCAGGACTACTAAACCAGGACTAAACCAGGACTAAACCAGGACTAAACCAGGACTACTACTAAACCAGGACTAAACCAGGACTAAACCAGGACTAAACCAGGACTAAACCAGGACTAAACCAGGACTAAACCAGGACTAAACCAGGACTAAACCAGGACTAAACCAGGTACTAAACCAGGACTAAACCAGGACTAAACCAGGTACTAAACCAGGACTAAACCAGGACTAAAACCAGGACTAAACCAGGACTAAACCAGGACTAAACCAGGACTAAACCAGGACTAAACCAGGACTAAACCAGGTACTAGGCCAGGACTAAACCAGGACTAAACCAGGACTAAACCAGGACTAAACCAGGACTAAACCAGGACTAAACCAGGACTAAACCAGGACTAAACCAGGACTAAACCAGGACTAAACCAGGACTAAACCAGGACTAAACCAGGACTACTACTAAACCAGGACTAAACCAGGACTAAACCAGGACTAAACCAGGACTAAACCAGGACTAAAACCAGGACTACTAAACCAGGACTAAACCAGGACTAAACCAGGACTAAACCAGGACTAAACCAGACTAAACCAGACTAAACCAGGACTAAACCAGACTAAACCAGACTAAACCAGGAAACCAGGACTAAACCAGGACTAAACCAGGACTAAACCAGGACTAAACCAGGACTAAACCAGGACTAAACCAGGACTAAACCAGGACTAAACCAGGACTAAACCAGGACTAGACTAAACCAGGACTAAACCAGGACTAAACCAGGACTAAACCAGGACTAAACCAGGACTAAACCAGGACTAAACCAGGACTAAACCAGGACTAAACCAGGACTAAACCAGGACTAAACCAGGACTAAACCAGGACTAAACCAGGACTAAACCAGGACTAAACCAGGACTAAACCAGGACTAAACCAGGACTAAACCAGGACTCAACCAGGTACTAAACCAGGACTAAACCAGGACTAAACCAGGACTAAACCAGGACTAAACCAGGACTAAACCAGGACTAAACCAGGACTAAACCAGGACTAAACCAGGACTAAACCACCAGGACTAAACCAGGACTACACCAGGACTGAACCAGGACTAAAACCAGGACTGAACCAGGACTACACCAGGACTGAACCAGGACTAAACCAGGACTACACCAGGACTAAACCAGGACTACACCAGGACTGAACCAGGACTAAACCAGGACTGAACCAGGACTAAACCAGGACTGAACCAGGACTAAACCAGGACTAAACCAGGACTAAACCAGGACTAAACCAGGACTAAACTAAACCAGGACTAAACCAGGACTGAACCAGGACTGAACCAGGACTAAACCAGGACTAAACCAGGACTAAACCAGGACTAAACAAGAAATAAACCAGGACTAAACCAGGACTAAACCAGGACTAAACCAGGTCTAAACCAGGACTAAAACAGGTCTAATCCAGGTCTAAACCAGGACTGAACCAGGACTAAAACAGGACTAAACCAGGACTGAACCAGGACTGAACCAGGACTAAACCAGGACTAAACCAAGTCTAAACCAGGACTAAACCAAGATTTAACTGGTCTCAGTCCTAATCACCCGACAGTCTACATGGGAGCACCTCCGGGCCCGTCCCGACACTCAGTCCTGGTTTAGACCTGTTTTAGTCCTGGTTTAGTCCTGTTTTAGTCCTGGTTTAGTCCTGGTTTAGTCTGTTATCCGTTTTTTCCATTTTTCATTTAAACACAAAATCGAAAAAAAAAAAAAAAAAAAAAAAAATCCTTTTCTTTCTTTTTTTTCCCTCCATTTTCGTTTTGGAGACAAATAATGAAAAAAAAAAAATTGTTTATCCGTTTTCTTATTTTTGGTTTTATTTTGAAAAAAAATAATGAACGAATGATTCAGTAACATCTCCATGGAGACCAGCAGATGTTCCACAGTGCGGCTTTAATAAGAGCTGCAAACAGACCTGACGACCGTTTAAAAACTCTAAATACGAACATAAAAACGCTTTGTGTAGCTTAGAGGAAATGTTAATGTGCTAAGAAGTTGGTTATGTTGTTTATTTAATTAAGGAAACTTTATAAATATAAGTTTTAGCAGTAATTATATCCACGATTATGCAAATGAGAGACCCGACTGCCCGGAGTGGCTTAAAAGAGCGTCTTTATACGGTATTAGAGCGTCCACTGTGAAGTTAAAGTCTCCTCATAGAAAACAGGATCATCTTATTTATATTAAGACTAAATACATTAAATCAACTGTTTAAAGATGCACTGTGGAGCTTTTCCGGTCACCTGCTCGTTTCTCTGCTCGGCTTTAAGTTTATTCAATTACAGGTGCAGGTTTTACGGCTCAAAAATACCTCGAAAAACAACATTCTGACTGTGATCGGGGTCGCCTCGCCGCAGATCTGACCTGTAACTCTGTCTGGTTCTGGTCTCCGTGACGATAGAAAGGTTTATGCTTAATGCCGTACTGTGGAACATTCCAGACAAAACAATAACAATACATGGCGAGTTTATTTGTACAGCGCAATTCGTAATTCAAAAAGTTTTACAGAATATTAAATAAATTAAAATCACAAAACAAACAAACTAGTGCCGTCAATCGATTAAAAAAATTTAATCGTGATTAATCTCATGAATGTCATAGTTAAAGGTTGTATGGAGGATTTTTTTTGTTTTTTTTTTGTTTCAAATTGTCAGTGATAGATTATAGATGCAGGAGCCTTGTAATTATGATGACCAAAAAAAAAGAGA